AGTCAAGTTGACAGAAAACCCTAACTATTGCAATCCACCTTGTCAACTAGAAACGTATAAACTCTCTTCATAATCTCTAAATAAAGAAAAGTTGTAAAGTTGTTCTTGTGTCTAACATGATGTAACTAAAACACGTACAACCAAAAACACATTGGACCCATTTACAACTTATATGTCACTAATGAACAAGGTAAAAATTTTTCATGCACACATACCAAACCAAACCAAACCAAACAAAAAATATATGTTCATATAAATGTCTGCAAGCCAGCGTCCTGCCCATAGGTACACAGCCTTACTCTGTCCATGGGCCAAGTGTCCATAGCTGCTCTGATTTTTCATGCCGCCGCCTCTGCCGCGTTCTCTGCTGTCGCCATTTTTACAGGCAGGATTTTTCGGTTTACTCATGCTTTTCCTTCCTGATGGTCCTGGGATCATAGGATCCTGAAATGAAAGCAAACTACTCCCTCCTTTTAGCTACACATATTCTACAATTACAGTTTGACAATCACAATTAATCCTACTAACAATACTCACAATTGAATTGATAAATTCCTATGAGCATCACTCCCCACACCCTCTCACCAGACCCATCTGGAATAGAGGAAAACTAGTCAGTGGAGATTTTACCATATCCCCTCACTCTAAAACTAAGCACATCTATGAAAGGTTGTTCGTTGTTCACTTCATGACTGTATAATCCTCTATTTTGCAAAGCTGTTGTCTAAATTGCCTGTCTCTATCAACCCAGTACACTGAGGAGACAAGCATGTTACCTGATATGAAGAATCACACACACCTTACTACATATCAAAGCAGCTACCTCTTGACTCTCAGCATTCCAGTCAATGGGCTAAGTCAGGGTCCTTAGGGTCAGGAGTTCATAAAACTACCTAAACTTCAAACCAGCCAACCTTCCTGTTCCGCTTACCTCAAGGTCAGTGGGTGCAAATAGAACACGTCCAATCTCAGCCCGTGTCTTCATTACTACAGTTCACCCTATTTCACACATGAGGAGATCCAAGAGGTAACCAGCAAACAATGACACAGGTTCCATTTAACTTTCTGTCCTAGAAGGGAGTTTTCACTGATGGGCAGACTTCCCTAGCATTGATGCCTCCAGAACTCAAAACACCAAACTGCCTGCTTTTTCCCTCTGCTTTTAAATCCTGTACTTCCAGTGGTACTGGGTTGTTCTGCATGTCTTTCTTAAATGCAAATATCCCAACTCTGAAGGTCCTGGGTGGGTTTCAGGATTGTCCCTAAGTCCTACACTACACAAAGTCTTCAAGAAAAAAGCCTCATTTCTCAGGGCAAATTCTAAGTTCTCTTTTAGCAAATCCCATCAAGAATAGGCTGAAGGCAGGTGGACAAGCTCTCTGTAATAATAATTCCTAATATTCCTCTCACACATGTATGTTTATTTTACAATAATATGTGGAGAAGACAATATCCATAAGACAAAGAACACAAACCTTTTACAACACTCAGGTTCCCTTTTTTCCTCTAACTTGGACTAACCCCATTCATATGCATATGGCCTTGGTCCTCTTGTTGTTGT